AGAAGGGAGGGGACACGGGGTTTGGGCTGCGAACGAAAATCCCGGCTCAGGGCAGGTGTGAAAAGGTGTATCCTGCGACTGCGGGTGCCTTCATTGATCCCAGTAAAGGAAGGGGGAGGGAGAGAGATGCTTTGGGTATCAAACTGATATCCCAGCTCTTGGCAGGTGTGCAGAGGTCATATTACAAACACTCCAGCGGGGGATGCATGCATAATGGGTTGAAAATAGATTGGTTTATAAACAGTTCCCCAAACTAGGGCATACTTTTAAAACACATGTATGTATTCTAGCAAAATGAGGATGCCTGGATCTCTGAATGGGGAAGGAGAGTGTCTTTAAGAGAAGAAACCACAGGCTACATTGCTATTTTCATCATCTGGGAAATGTGTAGGAGTCATAGGTTTCAAATATACCTGATGGTTTTTAATTGTGGTAGATCAGATTTCTTGAGTGCTTCGAAGCAGCTGGATGGGACAAAATCATCGCTATTTTGAAGGAAGAATTGGACTGCAGGCACTTAATAGTCAATGTGATTCTTGATTTCATTTTGCTGGTTCCCAGGGTAGTGTAAGCGCTCATTGCACTGCAGCAATCGCTGCTGATGTTTGCTTCATCTCTTCTCATGGCTTATAAAGAGAGTCAGGATTTTAACAAATTAATTGCCATCATCTGCCCAGCGATAACAGTGATACTGGACATGAGGCACAGTCATTCAAGGGTTTAGGGACAAAAGGCTTAACTTAAAAGAATTCCCATGTGTATTGATGGATTTTCATTAAACAATGAGGCTCTGCAGCAAGAGGGAATTCTTTCCTTGAGAGGGTTGCTGACTGATGGGTATCGTTTTGATACTGACGTTTTAAGCATTCTATGCAATTCTCTCCTTTATGCCTTATTAAAATCCAGGTTAATATCTCCTATTCTGGCATTATAAAAGGCACGAGTGGCATCCTCTGTTTCCAGTGTAGACATGTTTAAGAACACTTCAGGAAATGCTCAGAGAAATTTCCACTGATGTTTACTAAAAAGCTTTGCTCAAACAGATTAAAGGTTTTCCATGGATTTGACTTTAAACTCTCTTTTGGGTTTTCCCAACTAATGTCTTACAATAACATCCCAATCCAGAACATAAGAAACCTGCAAAGAGATTTTGTCTTTTGTATTTACAGAGACAGCCTTGTTCCAAAATTAGTCTCCTTGAAATTATGGCATTACTCGTGGGAAACCAAATGTCTCGAGCAAGTGAGATAATCTGTTGTAAAAGGTTGTGTTGACCATTAAGTGAGCAAAGAACTGAACTGGTGATGAGAGAATGCCAAATCCTAAGGATAAGCTCGACTTTAATGCCTATAGATGTCAGTGGGACTTTAATATGAGTTTAACGGCAGGAAAAAATTACATGGATGTTGGTTGCTAGCAGATAGCCAAAACTCCCAAATATATTAATTTTTGTGGATCTTTTTAATGTGAAAAACTTATTATCCTCATGAAAACATACTTATTTCAGTGGCCTGTGATAAATAAGCAGTTGATGACTCCAAGTGAAAAATCTGTGAGGGATTGAAGCAACTTGAAAGTTTTCTTCACCTGAAAAACACAGTAGTGAGCTCAGAAACTTGTGGGTTTGTTTTTTTTTAATCTAGATAAATGATAATGAATTCATTCTGCTGTCATTTACTTGCTGTGATGTTATTTGACTGGCAGTGGCCTTCACGCTTGGTTTTGAAGTTGTTATGGCCTTATTGGCTGCTGCAGCTCCACAGGAAAGCTCAGTTCAATAAAGTTGAATGGATGTCAATACAGGCCTATTCCAAAGCCCACTGAAATCAATTGGAATATTTCTGCAGACTTGGATGAGGTTTGGATCAGCCTTCCACTGTAGAATTAGGTATGGTATATGTGATCCCAAGAGAAATGGTTTCATATAGCTGGGTGTCTTTGGGGTAGGAGCAGAACATCGCTCTTGTGTGCATTGGTGGGACATTCCAAACAAACAAAAATGCTGTCTACATAATCCAGGTTTTACTGTATGAGTTTCCATACAAAACTCCTGTAGCTCACTAAAATGAAGGGGGTTGATATTTACTGCATTTATTTGAGTTCTGTTCCAATTTATACAGTTGGCTAAACTTCTTAAACCTAATCTTGGTAACCTTTAAGCTGCATTGAAGTCACTGGACTACTCATGTATCCAGAGGTAAAAATGACTGCAAAGTGGTTTTAGACAGCTCTCTGAAGCGTGTTTATGTAGTTTAGTTGTGAGGATTTTACCATCTCAAAGCTGTGGCTGGGATTCCTGTCAGTTTAAAAGTATCCAATATATTAATCACAATGTGGACACTTGGTTTCTTCAGGCCAGAGAAAGACTCTTCAGTTCAGCTCTCTGAACAGAGTTCAAAAAGTATTTTCTAAATCCACATGCTTAGAGGTTTTTATACCAACATAACACATTCCAGTTCAGTAAAGCAGAATTAAGGTCCTTACCTTCTGAGGAGAGCCAGCATTCGACTCATTGGACTCAAAATTAGCTCGGATCAAAAAAGATCAATTGTAGAAACGGTTTTGAACTGGGCAACTTCTGAGCAAAATGGTTTGAACTGTGGCTTCCCCCGTGTTGATGGGAGAGGTTGCTGCCATCCATCACTCCTACCCTGCTGAAGGTTCCCCCTTTCCTGGGAGCAGCCTGGGATACAAACATGAACCAAAATCAATGTTACAGCAAAATCAAAGCAAGGGTAATGCTGTGATTCACTAAGGTGAAAGGATGCTCATGGGACCCCAAATCCTAATGGGCATTTGAAGATCATCCAAACCATCAGTCTGCTGGTGTCCAGCTCAGGGGACTTTACCAGCCTGTACCAGAACTGGGCCTTAACCACTGTTGAAATGAAAGTGGTTGTCTGCAATAAATTATCATAATGATAGCACTGAACCTCGCTGCCATAAATCATATAAACATGACACTGTGCCTTCTTGTCTCAAGTTTATATTTACACTTATATTCCAGGTAGACTTGCAATAATAGGTTTTTATTACAATTAACTGAATTGTTTGGGGAAGACAGAAAGGGCTTTTGTGTTTAGACTCTACATTTGAATGTCTTTCTGTGCAAGTTCTCAGCTTCAGGTGAGACAGTAAAATATCATAAAAACTTGCAAAAAAAAAAAAACTGCCAGAGAAAATTCTGTGAATTCCATGCAAACTTTTAAAGCTAGGCTACAGAATTACGTGCACATTTCTTTTAAAATAAGAAACAAAAATTAGTCTACTCAAACTTTTTGGTATTTATTTATTACCTGTACATGGAACTCTAATCTCAAGGAGTAAGTACGAGATTAGGAAATTTATAGCACTGATTGTGTCACCACTGACTGCGTGGTCTCTGACAAGCTGTCTGTATCTCACTGTCTTGCATTTATAAAAAGGGCTAGAATTCAGTGAGGAATCCAGTAAGAGCAGGTTAATAATTTGCAGGAAGAAAGGCAGTATTGACTCGTGCCACTTCAGGAGTGCAAATATCCACCAGTGCCCTGGCTCCTTTGAGCAGATGTGAGGAAACACAGGATTCAGCCAGTCCCAGCCTTGCCTGCTCAGCTCTTTGGATGTGTGGGATGTGCTGTTTTAGTGGTCCCAGTCAGCCAAGGAGGATGGGGCTCAAAGCTCCTTTTAGTGTTGTTGGGAATTCATCACTGTCAGCAGTCTGTGCCCACAACTTCCTATTTGTTTATCTCTGAACTCAGTCCTTTTAGTCATATCTCCCATCTTAAGCTTTTAGGTAGCCCCACTGAGATTACAAAGATACTTAAGTAACTTCTTGGCTCGGAGGTTAAGAAAATGAGTATTAAAAAGCCACTACCAACAGGTGAGTTCTGAGAATGTAACTATAAATACTGAATGATAATATTACCACTTAATTTCTGATGCTTCTGTTCCATATATTGTTCCTGCCATGCTTTCTTGTATTTTCTGATATCTTCAGTGCTTATAAATAGTGCTGACCTCACTAAGGAAACTGATAAAAAATTTAACATATCATTGTAAAGATGCAGTCTCTAAGAACCCATCAGTGCAATGGGCATTCAGGTAATTATTTTCTTGTATTGATGGTCCTTATCAAAACCAAGGGGGAATTTACATTTTTACTGGTAGAAATAATGATGCAATTTATTTGAAGTTAAAAACACTCCCAACAAAATAAGAAGGAAGATGACTGGCACTTAACTATTAAGTCAATCAATGTGTTTTTCCTGTGTGTCAGTCTATTCATTATCATAATGACTTATTTTCAGTCCTGCCCCCTTTTTCATGTCTGAACTCCAGCAAAGTGTTAAGACATCAAGTATTTTTGAAATAACAGTCCTCGAATTCAAAAAGGCATATGGCAAATGCAGTAATTTAGCTTTTCTGTGAATGAGAATTTAGTCACAAAAGTCTTT